TGGCTCAGATTACAAAAGGTGAGACTGACTTCTAGATGTATCGTTCCCACAGACGGCGCCAGATGTTGGAGCTCGAAATTGCTGAGCTCGGATGTAACGTAGATCGGAACATGCAGGATGAACTACGACCAACGGTCCAACACCTTCCTAGAATACTCTTGAGACCTGCAAAACAAAGTTAGCACTCCGACGAGCAAGTCAGTTCTAGTCCGAGCTAACCTGCCGAGTCAATCTAGGATTGCGTACGTTGCTTTTAAGGTAAGGGTTTCTATTTATAGAAACTGGGCCCGACAGGAATTCTGATACACCCTAAAAACGCGGCGTGTTGTCGGGTTCAGAAGAGACCGCGTTACGGACTTTGTCTTAGGTCGGCTCGGTGTCCTAGCTCATACTCCGGCTGTCGACCTAAGTGTTTTGGAGTTCAATTTTCATATTTTTCGTGCGCGTTGGTTCTATTCGCCTCTTCGAATATGACACGTGGCAAGCCCGGATTCGTACCCAACAATTATCAAAATGGTGGAGGTACTACGAAGTAATGTAATGTTGAAGAACGAATTGAGTTGTTGAAGAAGAAATTAGAGCGGTAGGGTTAATGGTGTTGTCAATAGACATGGTGATGAAGAGGGAAAATCAACGGAGAAAGACAAACTCTCAGATCAAAAAATTTGATGCCACATTGAAGCTGAGAGTAAATAAAACTTGGCCTAGTTTATTAATTTACACGAAAGCCATATATATAAGACATGTGCACAAAAAAGATAACTCTTATACAAGCTAACTTCCCAACTAATCTTCTAACTAACTAATATACTTAATAAGTCTAATGACCTTAATCAAAATTGTGAGGGGTCGTTTGATATAAGAGATTGGGGGATGAGAATGGACTAAAATTTTTTATACCCTTATTTGGTACAAGGTTTATTGAGATAGACTTGAGAATAATTTATTTTTCGTACCTCTTTTACCCATAGACAATGGTATTCTATGCTCTTGCACAAAAGCATGAGTTTTCTCGTTTCTCTTTTTTTTTTCTTTTTCTTTTTCTTTTTCTTTTTCTTTTTGAATGTATATATAATTTAAATTCAAATTTTGAAAATATTGAAAATTATGAAACTTACTTCTAGAATTTTCAATATTTAGATCACAAAATTTAAAAAAATATATATATAAAAATAAAAAATAAAAAACAAATGTGCGTTAAAATGAGTATAATAAAATGCTGGGTCCGCAGTCACCTCCATTCCCACGTGTGGCCCACACGTGCTCGGCCTTCCTTCCAATCCCCATCTCTCAGTCTCACCTTCCGGATAAGCCCTTAAAAAACTCTCCTCTCCCATCCAAAACTCGGAAGCCCCAACAAAAAAAAAAAAAGAAAAAACAAAGAAAATAGAAAATGATTCCCTGAAATCTAGAGAGAGAAAAAATAGAGAAGAGGAGAGAGAAATGTCTATTTTGGCGGCCAGTTCTCAGATTGTGTACCGAGAAGTTCACCACAGAGATCCGCAGCAAATTGCGAGCACTGGGAGTGGGAACTGCTGTTTCGTGAACACAAATTGTGGGTCCCCATTATTCCATCGGAGAATTCAAGATCGCCGGAGAGAGTTGAGGGCGGAGGCCGGATTCTGGCCGGACTTGTCCCGCCCCGCGGCGGAGGAGATGGCGCCCATCCACGATTCCGACCACCTCGATCGGATTTTGCTGCAGGCGCGGGACCAATCTCAACCCGTACTTATCGATTGGTTCGTATTTTCTGCCCATCTCTAATTTCTTCTATTTTATTTTTTTATAATTCTTTTTGGCATTAATTATCGATTCGATTAAAATGTGGCTGTGGTCAATTCAGTTCCGCTGGATAGGGTTGCTGAAAAGAGTTCGATTAATTCTCTTTCTAACTTTTTTCTCTCCCAGTCGGGGTTTTTTAAAAAAAATAAAAAAATAAAAATTCGAATAAGTACTTTTCTTAAAGTAGTAGGCTCAAACTATGTGAGATGCATCTTCAGCTAAAATCATAATATAATTATTTAATATTTTTATCTAATAGAAAACATGAGTTTGGCTCAGCAAATATCTCTATCTTGTACTAAAAAAAATGTCAGGATGATTTATGAAATTTTACTAAATAATATGGATCAAATTAAAGTTTTTTGTGACCACCACCAGTGACGGTGAAATTTGACGGAGAAGAGGAAAAGTGTGGGAGTCCAATTAAGAAAGAAGTATTATTAAATTAATATATTTGTCAAGTAAGTAATATACTGTCATATTTTTATACTATTGGTCATCAACAAATGGTCAAAGAAGTTCAAGAACAGTTTAGAACAATTTTTATAAATTTGAAGGATTAAAGTACCTTTTTTGAAACATCATATAGAAAATAGACGTGAACTACTCTAAATCTGAAACATAAAAGTATATTTTTCCTTGTATAATTTAAAATTTAGGACATAAATAACATTTTACATATTGGATGGATTAAATTTAGTTTATTTTTTATCCATTAATGTAAATCTAAATTCCCAATAACAGTAATAATAACCTAATCTATTTTTCTTTGCCTCGACTTAGGGATATTTTGTTCATTTTCTTTATTTTTAATTAAAAATAAAAACAATGAATTCTACTGGCACATCAAATTCATGTTTCACTTTTATAAACTGGTTTTCGAGATAATTTTAAAAATTATTATTTCCAAGACATCTCTTTAAGGTAATTCCTTTAAGTCCTCTTTGAAAACATAATTTTCATTCTTTTTTATCAACAATTCTTAACCTCATTTTGGTTCCAAACTTTTTAGACTTTCAACTTTGGAAAATATTTATTTCAGTTCCTAAACTTCTAGATTTTTAGATTTTTTTTAGACTGATAAACGTGTAAAATACTTTTGCTAGAATTACTTTAGTTTTAGTTCTTAAATTTTAAAAAGTATCTATTTTTAACATTGTCATTAATTTAAAGGAACGAATGGCATGCATTTTTACCTAAGGCACAAATTGCAGCTATATTTATGGGTTGAGACTAAAAACAAAAATAATATATTTTTTTAATGTTTATAACTAAAATAAATATTTAATTATATTTTATTTATTTATTTATTTATTTATTTTGGGACAATAGGATGGCAACTTGGTGCAGGAAATGCATCTACTTGAAGCCTAAATTGGAGAAACTTGCTGCTGATTACGTAGCCAAGTAACCTCTCTCTTCTACTCATTCCTAGAAATTAAATCTCTTCTTTAATTAGTTCATCCCTACAATTTTTTATCAACCTTTCATTTATTTATAATAATTAATGTTAGATTGCAAATTTAGTATGGTAACGAAGAAGGAAGGAGGAGCAATTGCACG